AATGATTATAAATGATTTAAACTGATTTTAATGAGCAAAAAAAATATAAAATATGCTATAGTTTTTCTTCTTTAACTTCAGAGATTGAAGTTCTTATTTTATTATTATTCGTATAAATTGTTGTATGTAACTAAGAGCATTATCTCAACTGTACTTTATTATTTATTTATTTTCATTCAATATTTTGTTTTTCTCATAGCTTTTTTTCACTTCTTTTGAAGTCATTGCAATGAAATGAGTTGTTTTTTTTTAAAATTATTGCCCATGTGCAATTTTAAAAAAGCATTAATTTTATATAAAGTTATTATTATTAAGTTAAAATGAATTTGTTAATTTTCAACTTTTTTTTGTATTTAATTTAAAATTTTATCAAATAAAAAAAGAAATACTTTGACTGTTCATAAAAAACAATTGACCGTAATTTACATGTGTTAGCTGGTCGAATTGACCGTATGTATATGTATATATATATATATATATATATATATATATATATATATATATATATATATATATATATATATATATATATATATATATATATATATATATATATATATATATATATATATATATATATATATATATATATATATATATATATATATATATATATATATATATATATCAGTCTTCTCAGTTTGAAAATTAATGCCAGTGCACAAAAAAGGCAGGTGATTTTTAGGCTGGTTTTTATGCAATTTTAAAAATTCATCTTTATTTTTTAATTCTTTTTTATTTTATGTTAAAGTTAAAAAAGTGAAGAACGCTTTGAATAAATTCTAATTGAATTTATTCAAATACCAATTGTGGTATTAAACAATTTGTTTAATACTACAAATTTATTAATAATTTTAAAAATTATGTTTTTTAATTAATTCATTTAAAATAAATTCTAAATGAAATAGTTTAAAATTGTTCTGTTTAATGTAAGTGATAAAATAATTTTAAAAAAATGGCAAAAATAATATTTAAATTAAATTTTTAATAAAATAATTAAAATAAAAATTTCAAAAAAAGAAATAAAAAACGTTTAATATAAAAAATTAAACAAAATAATTAAAGTAAAAAGGTAAAATAAAAATTAAACTAAATGATTAAAATAAAAAGTTTTATTCAAATTCTAAATAAGGTTGTTAAAATAAAAACAGCAAACTTTTAATGAATTTAAACAAAATGAACATTTTGTTTAAATTCTAGGTAGAATAATTCATACACAAGTGTTTTACGATTTTTCATAAAGTTTGATGAATAAAAAATGATTTATTGCAATTTAAATAGAAGAATTTTTTAAAAAGAAGAATTTTTTAAAAAGAAGAATTTTTTAAAAAGAATTTTTAAATTTTTTTTAAAAAGAAGAATTTTTTTGACAAATACTTTTTATGCTCTCTCTAAAGTTTTTGCTGGCATGTGGGCAAGCGTGAAAAGGCTTGAGCGCAAAAGTGTTGGCTAAACGGAAAAGAATGATATATATATATATATATATATATATATATATATATATATATATATCAGGGTGTTGCCCAGGAAAAAATTTCATACAGCGTTTTTGTGAAATTAGGAATTTAGGTGCGGCTAAAAAAAAAAAAAAAAAGAAAAAGGTCCTTACATTCTGCAATTAAATTTTAATCAAAATAAATTTTCTATTTTTGCTTGGAGTTACATTTACAGCAGGATTATTTTTCTACTTTATATATGTTTAATTTTAATTAATCAACTTGTTTCGTTATGAGCAATCTACTAAAGTTTTTATTTAAATCGCTTCTTTTCTTTGTTTTTGATATACTGCTGCTGTTTTTCAAAATGCCTATTGAATGCCTAAAATGTATTTCGAGAAAAAATAAAAAAAATAAAAATAAAAATGTGAACTCGATAATAAGTGACGTCAATAAAAAATTTTTAAAAGTTTTTTTTTAAACTTTTGAATGAATGGTCTTGTTAAGGTTAATGACGCTTGTTAATGACAACACGTTTTTACGCATAAAAAAAAAAAATCGATCAATTTAATTCATTTTTTTGTCATGCATACTAATATTTACTAGTCTAGCGCGACACTTTAAATCTGAGACTGACTTAATTTTTTTTTTTTTTCAAAACTTTTGGGAATTTTAAACCAATTGGGAATACCGCATTATACGCGGTGCCATCAGGCTGGGTAACACCCTGTATATATATATATATATATATATATATATATATATATATATATATATATATATATATATATATATATATATATATATATATATATATATATACATACATATACATATACATATACATATATATATATATATATATATATATATATATATATATATATATATATATATATATATATATATATATATATATATATATATATATATATATATATATATATATATATATATACATACACACACATATATATAAATTAGTAGAAAATTACTTAACAAAAAAATTTTTTCATTTTACACTGTGTTTCATCAACAAAGACTCATCAGAAATAAATGCTCAAATTAATAAAACTTCAATTTATACCAAAAAAATTAAATTACAGGAAGTCGCAAATGTTTTAACTACTGTAAATTTTCACACATTTGTGGAATTTGCTAACACTATTATAAAAAGAATTCTTTAGAAATGATTATGTATGCTTTTTTTGGGGGGGATTTAATGTAACTATTACTTGAGCTCACTTGTTTTTATGATTTTCTACTAATTTATAATTGTTCTGTTCTTTTAAGAACATTGAGCACTCTATTTTGTACAATACATTTTTAAAATTGTTTAAATATATATATATATATATATATATATATATATATATATATATATATATATATATATATATATATATATATATATATATATATATATATATATATATATATATATTTAACAACTTATTAACATTTTCTAAAATAGATAATAAATATTTTTAACAACTTACAATATCTTCTAAATAATTTTTTAATAATATTATAATTTTTTTTTTTTAATTATTTTTATTTAGTTTTTATTGATTATATAAATACTATTGATATCATATGTACTATTGATAATTATATCAGGCCTTGCGATGAATAAGAACTGCGCGACGCATAAGCACGACGTGATTTTTAACATCATTAAATTCTTTTTATTTGCTTTTCATATTTATCGACATTAACTGCACCAATTTACTTAATTACTGCAAAACTACTTTAAATCGTTTATGTAGAAATGTTATTATTTAAAAATGTTTAGGAATGTTTCGTTTTTTAAAATGTAAAAACATTTGTTTATTTTCTCCACGTTTGTCACGTTTTGAAGGAATTTTATTTCTAGTAAAATAAAATAAAATGTTAGAATAAAAATCTTATAGGTATAAAAGAAATATTTCAGCGAAAAAATTATTCTTAAAAATTATTATTAAAAATTATTTGAAAAACTATTGACGTTTTATTTTTCAGCAGCTGTTCTTGAGCACGCTTCGTTGAGTTTGGGTAACTTTTAACATAAAAGCGATCGTTATTAAGTAATTTTTCTGAGTTACTTTTTACAAAAATTTTAATAACTGTACTTTTTTATTGAATCAAGTAGAATACGTTTTAATATTAATCCTTTTTTTTTTTTTTATTTGCGCTCACCAATTTTTAAAATGTTTCCTCGAAATTACTCTTAAATACTTTAAATACGTCTAACAGTTAATAAATATTTTTAAATCTATGGAATGATTTTAAGACCTAACAAACCCCCGTAAAATAATTATTTAAGTTTAAAATCTAAAACTAAAAGAAAGTATTTTTGTTCAATTTTATCGACAACTTTGCTATTGCTGAATAATTTTATTAAAATGTTAGCTTAAAAGATTTAAACTTTTTTTTTAATCTGAATTTTTTCTTCTTGTAAATAATGAGCATATTTAATTTTTTTTAATTCAAACTTTTATTTCAACTGCGTGCGGTTTTTAAAATACTTTATTAAATGTTAAAATAATCGTGAATTACTTCATTAAAATTCCGCTCAAAAATATCTTTAAATATACTCAAACAAAAAATTTTTTGCTCGATGCAAATAGCCCTAGCTACACGCAAAATCGCTTTTGGACAACGTAAAATTCACATCGCCCGACGCTTTATCGCAAGGCCTGTTATATCATACTATTTATATCATTAACTTTGAATTTTATTAGTTGTTTGATTTAAATTTGAAAAAATAGGGCTTTTTTTTTTTTTTTTTTTTTTTTTTACACTTGTTTAATTTGAATTCCACAATATCATTTTCTAAACAAAAAATTAGAAAATGGCATTAGAAAATGACATTGGAAAAAGTTTAAATAAAATTTTTACAACACCTAAGGTTTAGGAGTTTTTCCAAGCATTTGTTGAATAATTGATTTTTCCTAGATGAGATCTGTCCCAAGATTCTCTTCAAATGAATTGCTTCAAATTTAAGGTTTGGACAGTAGTAGAATCTTTTCATAAATCATCTTTTAATAATTTTCTTTTTATAAATCATTCAGTTATATAAAGTTCTTTTAAGCAAAATTCAAATAGTTAATAGTTTTAAACAATTAATAAATGTTTTTTTTTTAAACTATTAATAGTAAATGTTAATTTTTTATTAATTTGAAGACAATGGTTAATAATTCCAATTCCTTTTATTTGACAACTGAACATGCTCATAAAATGAATGTCCTGTGTGAATGGCGTGATTTTATTTTGAATATTGTTCAGAATAATGTTTTTTTTTAATCTTTTCAATTTTTTTTCCTCTTCATTTAATACATGTTTTTTTTTCTTTTCTTTTCATTTTTTGTTCAAATGATATATGTTTGATATATGTTTAATCTTTTTTGCTTTAATGTTGTAGTAGATTAATGATAGAACCTTGTTCAACAAGTTCTGTGTATTGAACTTTAGTGAGAGAGTTGTATGAATAATTTGTTCATACTTTTAACTTTGAAAATAAGTTTTTTAAATAGTTTTTTTATTATTTTAAAAATTTATATAGTTTTGTTGTTTTTTCTTTAGGCTCTTGGTTTGCATAAACATGATTCAAATGATCACAATCATGAACACGATTCAAATGATCATGATCATGAACATGACCATAATATATTTGCCAAAGATAGTTTTTTATGGAAGTGTTTGCTATTTTTGGCTGGAATATATTTATTTTTTGTGTTTGAAATAATAATGCATGCATTTGGTGCTGGTCATTCACACAATGTTCTCTCTCATGGAGATGAACAGCTTTCAAATGGTCACTCACACAGTAGTGGTATAGTAAATAACAATGTTCACTCTTACGGTGAGGAACACCACTCAAGCAAAATATATAAACATGAAAAATATGTTATAAAAAATAATTATCAAGAATGCCATGTAAGAAAGTATTTTTCAATTTATTTTTTTTTCACTTTTTGAAAATATGTTCCAAAATTTTTCACTTTATTATTATTATTTTTAATTCTGATTCACTTCAAACAAGACTGCAAGCAAACACTATTAAGTTGGGAGTTACTAGGGAAAAAAATAGAGTTGTAGAGCAAGGAAATGGTTGACAGAAGACTTATAGGCTTTCAAGACTTTTTATGAAGGTTGTATAAGTCGAGAAAACATGAAAATGGGATAGAGTTATATAGAGTTGAAGTGCAGGGGAAAAAACTAGACAATTAAAAGTTTTTGGAGCATAAATGATGAGTCAAGCAAGGACGAGTTTTAGTTGATGGACCAAGAGATGATAACTCCTTCAAGCAGCATCCATTATAGTATTTGTAGAAAAGAGAAAGAGATGCAACTTTACGATGATATGAAAGAGGTTCAAGCTTAGCAGCTTGAACAGATTTACTATAAATGTTTTACTTACTACAAATGTTTATCTTACTACAAATGTTTTACTTGCTCAAATGTTTTATTTGATGCATATGTTTTTAATACTACAAATGTTTTACTTGCTATAAATATTTTGATTACTAGAAATCCTTTACTTACTACAAATAATTTACTTACTACAAATGTTTTACTACCAATGTTTTACTTACAACAAGTGTTTTACTTACTAAAAATGTTTTACTTGCTACAAATGTTTTAATTACTACTAATGTTTTACTTGCTATCAATGTTTTACTACAAATGTTTTACTTGCTACAAATATTTTACTTGCTACAAATGTTTTAGTTACTGCAAATGTTTTACTTGCTAAAACATTTGTAGTTGCTACAAATGTTTTAATTACTACAAATATTGTAACCTGTTCAAATAGTATTTGACATTTTTCTCTGCAAAATAATTGTTTACAAAATATGTTTGCCTCTTCATTTGACAAAAATCAGGTTTTAGATCAGGGAACAAAAAGAAGTTGCTTGGGGCTAGATCTGGTGGTCAAGCAGTTCAAACTGTAATTCAGTGAGTTTTGCTATGACAATCACTGAAGAGTGATTGTCATAGCAATGTAGGTGGTGCCTAGTTTTGGTAAAACAAGGCACTTTTTTTCTGTAAATGTGACCATTTTTAGTAAATAAAAAACCATAACAATAATTTATTGGTAAAAATAAAGCTTTTTTTAATCATAACCTTTTTAAATCTTGTTTCAATCAAATTTTTTTTTATCAATCTTTTTTAATCATATCAGGTTGATGGAGTCTTATACACCCCAACTGATGAGAAATTTCATACTGATTCAAACCACAAAAATGAATTGGGTGTATGTATTTCTTCTTTTGAATTATTTTTTTTAATTTTATTAATGTTTAAAATATATTATAAAAAATACAATGCATAAAAAAACTTAATTTAATGCCCAATGATAAAATCTAATCATTATATTATACCATCATCATGTCATACCTTGTCATAATTACCAAAATTTCATGATATCTATTCCTAGGGTACCCTGATTATTTTATTATTCCAATATTATGTTTAGATACCATAATTATGGCTTCACTCTATAATCATGATATTAAATATTGTTAGGGATTATTTTGATTATTTTATTGGTATCAGTTTTTTCTTTTTAACTAGAGTGAAATAAGTTTTGTTAAAGTTGAAAAAAGTTTGCAGAACAATGGTATTGATGGAAGCAAAACACATTTAAAAAAAGATTCTTCTAACAAAGTCCTACCAATCAAAAGTTTTAAATCTATAGTTTGGATGGTATTTGTTGGTGATGCGGTACATAATTTTATGGATGGTGTGGCCATAGGCACTGCATTTTCAGACACCTTTCCTGCTAGTCTGAATGGAGGTATAAGTACATCAATTGCAATTCTTCTGCATGAGTTGCCACATGAGCTAGGTATTAACTGTTATTTAATTATTTGTTGTTGAGGATTAATTAATGTTTTTTTTAAAATCTATTTCTAACTATGGGATATGGGTTAGGGGTATGCAACCAAGGGAATGGGTTAGGAGTATGTCCCATCGGATATGGGTTAAAAGTATGTTCCATGGGATATGAATTAGGCGTATGTGAATAGTGTCATAAAGCAATAGGGTTAGGATTAGGATAAATATTATTTATATAAATAAAAAATATTTTTTTGCTTTGTTGTGAATTCTTATTGTTTTTTAATATGCCAAGTAAAGAAATAATCTCTTTTTATAATCTTTTCTTTCACTTAACATGCGCTCTTTTTCAACTTTCTTTGTCATCCAAGGGACACAAAAAAAGTTTTTTTATATAAAGATTTGCTTCTAAACTGCTTACAGGTTCCAGGTTACAGGTTACAGGTTACAGGTCTTTTACTTACAAGTAATAATATGTATAACAAACATTTTTATATTTAAAATAGGCTGATATTGCTTGTGGGTTTGTTTTTCTTTTTTTTTTTAATTTTTCTGTTAATTAAAATTGAGTTGATAATGCCGCCAGGTGGCAAATGTTAAAAGTGGGAAATTTTACTTCTATGCCATTGGCAAATAAATCTTTTTGACTGAAAAAAAAAGATTGACTGATTTTGGTAAAAGTTTTTTAGAACAAGTCGACATGCTAAAATTACGTATTTTAGCATGTCGACTTGTTCTAAAAAACTTTTACTTGTTCTAAAAAACTTTTACAATATTCAATTATTTTTAATAATTGAATATTGTAAAAGTTATTGAAAAAATAACTGCGAATGTTTATAAAAAGTTTGCGACTACGCTGTATTATGCTAATAGTTTTGCCAAATTACAACAAAAAAAAATAAAATTTATAAACTTTAAATATAAATACTTTTATAAATATTATTTATATTTTACTCTATAATTTTAAAATGTTTAAAAATATAGACTCATCTACTTTTACACGTTTTAAAGTTAAGCGATTAAAAGTTTCAAACGTTTAAAAGTTAAAAATTTATTCGATAGTCCTAGACTGCTCTGACAAAATAATTTGGCCATCTGGGAGGGAAAAGCTGAGGGAGGCGGCCTCCAAATGGTTTTGCCTCCAAAATTTCTACTGGAGGCGGCCACCATTGGCTTTCGCCTCTCTCTCTATTGGCATCGGCCTGAAAAACATTTTGCCTCCAAAAAAAATATCTGATTGTGGCCATCAATAGAAAGGCAGATGCCATCAGAGGCAAAACATAAAAAATTTTGCCGCTAAAAATTAATTGGGAGGCAACCGCCGCACAGTGAGTCAAAATCCATAAAAAATGGCAAAAAAACCCCCATAAAAAACTTTTGCTAGAAAATAAATAATTAGTTTATAATGTCACTAAATACCACTAAAAGACAATAAATAATTTTTTTTTGAATAATTTTTAAGATTTCACTAATTTATCAGTCTTTTTCCGAGACTTTATTTTATTTTATTTTTCCGAGACTTTATTTTATTTTATTTATCGGAAAACTTGTTAAAAAATGTCTTGCTTTAGTGTCACACTTTTAAGATTGATATAGGTAAAAACAGTTCAAAATTTAATTTGAAGTCATATATTTAAGATGTTTGGTAACTATTAACAACATTTTTAACAATAAATTTTAATTTTTGATTTTCATTACTGAGATCTCAAAAATATGTCATAAATTGATTTTTTTAAATTAGTTTAATTATGAGTTTAGTTCAAAAACTAAAAGATTCCACTAGATTCCATGGTAGTTTTAATATTTTCCCATTAATAGGTATATATGAAAGCAGAAAAAATAAAAATCATTTGCCCTAACTTGCCCCAATTAAAATAAGACCTTTTAAATACTTTGTTTTTTTTGTATCTTTTTTTTCCGTTTTTAATTATAACTTGCACATAAAGTAGCGAACAATAGTTCATTTCTTGCATTCATCACACAAATAATACATTTAGTTCCCATTACTAAAAAAACTCATGATCAAGCAGATGGTGCTAATTATCAAACCTCAAAACCAAAATATGCAATATTTGATGTTATAGTGCATATTTTAAAATTCAAACTTGCGTGTAAAATAACTAAAAATAGTTCATTGCTTACATTAAACATGAAAAGAATACATTTAGTCCCTATAATTCAAGAGTTAAGAAATAATCGTGATAATTTACTCGAAGCTCTTATACGTGAGTTTTGTAGACTGGAGGGTCTGTACTATGAAAGTATTGACAAACCTAAAATGTTAAATCTAAAGAAAACTCTAATAATATTTAAATGTAAATTCCGATCAAAATTGCAGAAATATTCAAGAACCTTCTCTAGACTTTTGGAACACGAGCAAACTTGGTTGAACAAAGATGTAACTGTTGACAAAAAAATTTTTGCAGCAGGTCCACGCAGAAAGAGCAAGAACTGGGAAGATTTAGGTGATAGAAGCAGAAGATCTAAGGTAATAATGAATAAATTAAGTTCAACCCAGTTTGAAAAAATAGTTTACAAACTTAAATATTAAATATTATCTTGTTTAAGGTTGCCAAATTGGCTGAACATCCTGCTGAAGCATTGGCATTAGCTTCAATTAAAAAAGCCACTAGAGATCCTACCAAAAAAGATTTTGTTGTTTTCATGAAAAGTGCAACAAACTCTGAAAAAGTTAATATCACAGAGATAAATTTTCCGATAAAAATGAAAACCGAAGATGCCTTAAGCTTAAAAGTTCAGTGTGACCTTTCTGATGAGCAGTATCAAATTATTAGAAATTCATCAATAATACATAATGCAGATATTTATCCTTCACTTCACGAAATTAAGAATGAGAGACACAAGTGTTATCCTGGGGGTTTAATTGTGACAGAAACATCTGCTTCAACTTCTCTACAGGGTATGTTTAATCATACTCTGACAAGAATATTAACTTTTACAGAATGCCAAGACTCTATGAGAATGTTTGCAGAAATTGGGGGGAAGTTTAAAGGTGTACTTCACTTTAAAGGTGGCTTTGATGGTGCTTCCAGTCAAAGTGTCTATAAACAAAAACATACTGATGCAAATATTGGTGAGGCCCAAGTTAACGAGCAAAGTCTTTTCCAGACAGCTGTTGTTCCACTTAAATTAACCATCACGAACAAAAATATATGGTTAAATAAGAAGCCTTCCAGTACACATTACTGTAGACCCTTACATCTCCAATATCAAAAAGAAACGGAAAAATTAATACAAAATAAGTATGAACTTTTAAAAGCAGAAATGAATAGACTAGTCAAGTTTGAAGTAAAGTTAGAAGTAGTGGAAGGCAAACCGGATACGACAATTACATTTAAGTTCAAACTAGATTTAGCCATGTTTGATGGTAAAGTGGTTAATGCCCTCACTAACACTCTGTTCTCCCAATCATGTAATATTTGCGGATCTAAGCCCAGTGAACTTAATAGCCCAGAATTGATCAGATCTAAACGAATTAATAAAAAAGTTTTATCTTTAGGCCTTTCTACTCTGCATTGTTGGCTCAGATCTTTTGAATATATTTTACATTTAGGATATAAGTTAAACATTAAAAAATACTTTGCCAAATCCCCCGCTGAAAAAGCATTAGTGAAAAGTAGAAAAAGGAACATTCAATTGAGGCTTAGAGAGGAGCTAAGTCTTATAGTTGATATGCCTAAAAAGGGTTTTGGCAACACTAACAATGGAAACACTGCCAGATGGCCATTTGAAAAAGCTGAAACTTTCGCTGATATAACGGGAGTGTCATTGATGTAATTATTAGATTGAGGACAATCCTTATATCAGTATGCTCCTGTTATAAGTTAAACTCAGAAAGTTTTGGCCAGTATTGCTATGAAACTACAGCTCTTATACTCAAAAACTATTGCTGGTATATGATTCCCCCAACTGTTCATAAACTATAAAAGGCATTAGATCTGCCAATTGGTTACTACTCTGAAGAGTCACAAGAGGCTCTAAATAAGGAAATTTGCAAAGCAAGATTAAACCATACAGCCAAGATATCAAGAAAGAATGTTATGAAAAACCAGTACCAATACCTCTTGATTAGAAGTGATCCTGTAATATCAAACATTTGTTTCAAAAAATACAAGGTTGAAAATGGAAAAACACCTACCCCTGAAGTTTTATCTTTGTTAATGCTGTAATAATGAAATAAAGCTTTTTTATAACTTTAGGTTTTCTTTTTTTGTTTTCTTGAAAGAAAATTTAGATGAGATAAATATTTATTTTGTAATTAATATACTTTAATATTATTATAATATTAAAAGATTTTTTGAATCCAATTATTCTTTTTAATAAGTATATGTTTTGGTTTGAAGAATTTAATTTTTTTAAATTAAGTCTTTGTGCGCGTAAAAGACTATAACACGTATACGCGTGTATACGTGTTAGAGTCTTATACGCCTGTACGACCCTTAGGCATAAGAAAAATTTACATTAAAAAATATGTGGTATTTTTTTATATGGTATTTTGGATCAAGGAATGCGATTTATTTAAATCATATTTGGCGCGCGTAAATGACACTTACACGCGTAAGCTTGCGTTGTACGCGTAAAAAATATTTTCAATAACAAATTTAAATTTTTTGACCCAAAATACGATAGTATTGATATATTACATGTTTATATATGATAGTTATATAATTTTTGCCGTTTTTTCACCTTTCTGACTCACTGTGCGCCGTCTGCTGCGAAAGAAAAGTATAAATACTTTTCATTTTTAAAGTTTGCTAAAATTGCTTGTGGGTTTGTATTTTTTTTTTAAATCTTTTAAAAATACTTTTATTGACAAAAAATTTTTTTTTCATACTAATATATCATAACTCTTTGTTAAGACTAAAAAGTAGAAAATAAAATATAGCAAAAACGTTAGCTAAAAAGTATAATCTTTTTTGTACTAAAAAGTAGAAAATAAATTTTTTAATTTAAATTTAAAAGTTCCGTAAACTAAAGATTGACAGGTCTGCGCAATGTTTATTTAGAAATATACCTGTCAATCTTTAGTTTACGGAACTATTAAATTTAAATTAAAAAGTTTATTTTATACTTTTTAGTACAAAAAAGATTATCCTTTTTAGTTAATGTTTTTGCTATATTTTATTTTTAACATAAATTATAAGTGTTTATAACAATTGTTGCGTATTGTTTCTGTAGTGTTGCCCATGGTTTGATACAAATAATATTTAAATTAGTGTTTCATTTTCAATTTTGGTTTCTAGTTGTTCAACTTGCTTTAACACTGATATTGTTTAACAATCATACATTGTTTATATATACTTTTCTAGTAGTTCAACTTGCTTTAACATGCTTTGTTATGTTTACACATGTTATGTTTACACATGTTATGTTTACACATGTTATGTTTACACATGTTGAATAAAAATTTTTGGTAGTTTGGTTTTTATAAAAGTTTAAAAATTTATTCTTATAAATAATACAAAGTGCATAGATTTTCAATACATAAAATGATTCAATGTACATCATTTTTTTTCAATTTTTTTCAAAACTCAAAACATTTTTAAAACCTAAAACATTTTATTTGAAAACAGAAAACAAAAGTTGTTTTTTTATGATTACAAATTTTAAAGTTTTTAATCAAAAATTGCAAATATTGGTTTAAAACTTTTCAAGATCAATTATTATAAATAGTTTTAACATTTTTGCACAACCTGTACATCAGGCATAATTTTTTCATATATTTTTTGATGATGTTTTTATTTTATTTTTTCATTATTTTTTAGCATAAAATAATGATACCTGCATAAATAGTGCTTTCTATCTACTTGAAAAAAACTAATTGAACTTACTATAAGGGGTCGTCCATAAATTATGTCACACAATTTCTGATCGTTTTTGACCCCCTACCTCCTCCTTGTCACAACATTTATCATTTTGACTTCCTTGTCACAACATTTTTCATTTATCAGCATAAAATGCTGTGATAAATGCACAGATAGTGTTTTCTATCTTTTGGCAAAAAACTAATCGAACTTCTTATAAGCTAGTTGGTATTTTAAACACTATCAATCAATTTGTTATTTTAGACATTGCAGCCAATCAATTTGTTATTTTAGACATTGCAACCAATCAATTTGGTATTTTAGACATTGTAACCAATCAATTTGGTGTGATTTTGTGGAATCTGGAGAATTTGATATTGATAACAATAGATCAGATTATTTTGTCATAAAGTATGAAACAAAGTAAGAACCTTTTGAGTACACCTCTGGTGTTCCAGATTCTTTTGAGGCAACTCTGGTGTTCGAGATTCTTTTGAGGACACCTCTGGTGTTCCAGATTCTTTTGAAGACACCTCTGGTGTTCCAGATTCTTTTTAGGACACCTCTGGTGTTCCAGATTCTTAGATGAAAGTCTTCTATATAAAGATTTTTAATGACTTTGTCTTATTAAAAAGGTATTAAAAAAAAGGTATTAAAAAGGTTTTAAAAAAAAAAGTTTGATTTGGAATTCTCAATAGTTCTATACTTCTAGTTACCATAAATATTTTCCGAAATAATTTGTAAATTATCTGTTTTAAAACATGAATGCTGGGTAATTCTATGTAAAAGATGATTTTAAAATCATTCTACTCACTCCCTCAATTTTTTTTTAATTTTAAACAGTATTTATCAGGGACACATGATAAAACACAATTTATAAGTGCCTAACTTTAAATGATTAAAAAATTATGCTGCTAAAATTTTGAGTTGCCATTTTTTTTTAATTTTTTTTTATATAAAATATATTTTTTTTTTAATAATTTATTATTTGAACCAAAGTGCAATAACTGTACATATTATCAATTTTGTATACAATAATAATCTTTCCTTCAATAGTTAAAAAATATCTAAAATTTTCTTCATTGTATTACTTCAAATTACGTTACAAAATGTTATTAATGTAAACATTAAATAGTTAATTTTAAAGCTAAAATCATGGTCGTTAAAAATGTAATAAAATGTTTTGATTTCTTCATAACATATTTTAGTCACAAGTTTTTTAATTAGCTGAAAACTCTTTAAATAGATTTGAACACATGAATTTTATTAAATAAAATCATTGAAAATGTTTCAAAAAAGTTAATCTAGTTTTTATAATACTTTATAAAAACTGTTTTAATTTATTTTTGCTGTTTTTTTTTTCTTTCAAGAAATTGTTCTTAAAAAATATTACATTAATTTGCTTGAAAAGATTTTTATTTTGCTAAAAAAGAATTATGAAAATTTTGCTAAAAAAGAATTATGAAAATTTCGCTAAAAAAGAATTATGAAAATTTTTATTTTGTTAAAAAAGTTTTATGATCCAAATTCAACCAAATAAAATCTTAAAAAAATAAACTTTTTAATTTTTTTGTTATTATTATTATTATTTTTTTACAGTTATCAGTGTTTTTCAAAAGAGCAGGTTCGCTCAAAATGTTCTAAGCAAATCTACTTTTTTTAAAAACACAAATTCAAAAAAAAACACTTAATAACATTTGTTAATGTTCTTTATAGTTTTAAAAAATATTTTTAAATAAATTTTTATAATGACTTTAATTTTTTTTTTTTAGTGAAACTTTTTATTATGCAATTATTACAGCAAATAGTTTAAGTTCAGTTACATAGCATTAATTTTTGGTCAAACTTTTCTTGCTAAAATGACATCGGTAAAATGTAATTATCAATTTACTAATTTTAAATAATTAGTAAATTAATTATTCATTTTTATTAAATTAAAGTAAATTAAATTTCAAATTCAATAAAAGTAATTTTATGCAAAAACATCATCAAAATAATATTTTTTGTCACCCTATAAGAAAATCTATCGTCTGGTGCGATCACATGTCTGTGCAACAATTGGTACCTGGCGTTTTTTGAGTGTGCCTAGTCTAAATATATAGAGCAAAAAATCCAATTAAAATTTTCATCATCTGATTTTTAAATGGTCAAGACAAAATTTCTGTTATGTTTCCATAGGTTGCGCTTTCATTAACTTTCATTAGTTGCTTAACCCATGTAAAAATAAGAGATTAAAAAATAAGAAGTTAGGCTAAGTATAAAGTATGTATGTATGATAAAATATATAAAGTATATATATATATATATATATATATATATATATATATATATATATATATATATATATATATATATATATAAAGTATGATATTATGTAAGTATGGTCTCCTACTTTACAAAAAACTGTTTTGAAATGTAGACAAAAAAAATCTTCATTTAGAATCACATTCTCCATTATAGATTTTATAGCTGTGTTTTTTTTTTTTATGTGGAAGAAAATGACTGAATATTGGTACATGACCATTTTTGAATGCGCTAAATCCGAAGCTTAAATCAAAATAATCAATTTCAAAATTTTTCTTTCTTTTTTGATTTTAAAATAGTGAAGTCAAATTTTTTGTGCCCAATTCTCACAGGTACGAAATATTTTTCATTGGAACATTTTCAAAATGTGAACTTAATAATTAAATTATAATTTTCTTTTTAATTTCCTTTTTTCATTTTCTACTTAAACTATATTTTTACGTTGATAACTCTATATCTGTTGGTATGTTGATTATGATTTTTTGAAAAATAAAAAAGAAGAAATATAGTTCCAACAAGACATTTATATGATGGAAAGTTATTGCCAAAATTAAATTACTAAAGAGATCAAATTTTTACCTAAAATTCTTACCTAAGGTTTTAAGCTCAGAATTTATTTTAGCTTATTTTTAATTGTGTTCTTTTTTACTTCCAACCATCTATTAAAATAAAAAATACTATTGTAGTTTATGTTGCAGTTTTGTGTTACCAGTGTTACTATAATATTTTAATAAATACATATATTAATAAATACAATTTATAAATATATGATAAAATTTATTAAATATACTTAATAGTTTTAATTTATAAGACAATAGTTACTGTTTTTAGTTTTAATTATTTAGTATTTTAGTGTTACATTGTTATAAAATATTTAATTTTTTTTTAAAGGTAACTTTGCTGTTTTGTTAGCATCTGGGCTTTCAGTTAAACAAGCTTGTATCATGCACTTAATTTCGTCGATCACTGCATTTGTTGGCGGGTCTATTGGAATTTCGTTAGGAACTGAATGGAATACTGGTTTTTGGATTTTATCAGTTACTGCCGGCTTGTTTATTTATGTTGCTTTAGTTGATATGGTAATATGTTAAAACATCTCTAATCTATTAAATTACATAATTACCTGGGTTATATATTAAACATAAATGATTTGTCCCATTTTTCAAACATAAATATATATATATAAACATAAATATATATGTATATATATATATATATATATATATATATATATATATATATATATATATATATATATATATATATATATATATATATATATATATATATATATATATATATATATATATATATATATATATATATATATATATATATATATATATATATATATATATATATATATATATGTTTTCCACAATTTAATGTTGCAAAACCTTAACTAATACCCTTTTAGAAAAACGCCTTAAGCTTGAAAAAATTAATCCATCTGTAAAATTAACATAAAAAGTATGAGGAAAATAATTTACCAACTACAACTTAACATTTACAATTGCTACTTAACATTATTTGAGTAATTTACAACTGACATAGGTCATAACAGTGTAAGGCAGAACCATTTTCATCGACCTTCCTAAGTTCAACCTAATACGTTTTTAGTTACTGGCAAAAACTAATAACACTTCATCATGCTTTAAATAGACGAAAGTATCAACTAAATCCTAGTAATAATTTTGATAACATGAACCATTAAGACTAAGATGAAGTTAACTTATATTATACAGGAGTTATCAATTTTTTGGTATCCCCTTGATTAATTTTTTTTGAAAAGAAAACTGTTAACTTAAAACATTAAATGTATACAACTAAATAAATTTATTAAAAATTACTAAGTTTATTATAAACAACTGAGTAGAAATACGTTTCAAACAAAAAAAAATTTAATTTACAGTCAAACATTTGTAGAACAAATTTAAAAAGATATGTAAACTCTGATCTTTCATATTGCATTAATGCGTCATATGACAATACTAAAATTGTAACAGATAAGTAGACATAAAAATTTGTTAACCAAGCTGACCGGACCAAGGTCTTGTCTGCTCAACACAGATCATTTCTATATTATTTGTTTGGCCTCTTTATTTCATTCATTTTTAGTAAACAGTTATTTGCTACCATTTACTAAAAATTCTTTTTGTCACTCGAAATTTAATTTTCCTAAATATTTTAACACTATTAAAGAGGTTCCTTCCCTCTTTTCGCTTTAATGGTGGCCAGGTGAGTAGAGTTTTTTTTATTAAGAGTAATCAAGTTTTTGATGAAGACCTTTTACCAAAATAAAAAAATGTAAAACAATGATTTACATATATAAGAATGTTTTCTTTCTTTCCTCAAAAGTCTTGCAAATGCAGACTAAGCTTAATAATTAGTTAAACTCGTAAATAAAACTTAAGTAACTCAATACTTGACAAATACGCCAAACTACAATATTCTCCATGTTTTTAAAGGTTTTTAGTTACGACCCCCCGTTTACAGAGATCCTTAAAAATGCATACAACAAATTATTAGGCATAAAATAGATAAAATATTTTAAAAAATTGAACTAATTGCATATATTTATATCTTTTTAACTAACAAAAATTTACAATAAAAGGAAATCAGGTTTTTTTTTAATAAATCCTATAAATGCGTCAACCTAAATCTATAATAAAAAAGTAATGGAATTATGATATCATAATTAGAAAAAACAAACAACAACAAAAAAACACCATATAAAAACTGAAAATCGATTTGCCTATTTATAGTAACCTATTTTGAAATTGCAGTTGATATAAACATTTATCGAAAATGTAACTGTAAAATCTGTTTCGAAGTACAAAAGGATTAACAATACTAAAAAAAATCTAATTAAGATATAAATTGCATTTTTAGCAAAATGTTGTCTTGGCTTTTAGTAAATAAAAGCAGTAAGTTCCAATGATGAAACACTACCTATTATTTATTTTTAACAATAGACACCAACAGGAAGGTGAGCCAAGCTGTCTATCAATACAAAACATCACAATAATAACATTACAATAATAACACATAATAAAATCCAGTAAAAATAACTAAATTAAAATGTGAAAGGTAAAATTAATAAACCAATTTAGAGTTAACTATATTTATCTTTTTACTAAACTTTAATAAAGTATATTTGTTTTTATATTTAATATTAGTTTTTATATGCATTTATTTTAAATTTAGGACATTAAAGCACCCTAGATTTAAAAATTAAGGTTCTATACTCTCTTATAAACATTACGCTAAACATTATCAGACTTTATTATGTGTTTCCAGAATAATTAGAAAAAGGCTAGACAACACAACCTAGCGCGAAAGCAGTAACACCGCCTGGCACTAAATGCTGCCAAGTCACACCTCTGCTATAAGTACGCCACTTGGCTGGCAAGGTTATCAAACTCGCTCAACGTAATACCAAGTCACACTACTTTGAAAACATGGAAACAACATAATTTTAACATATATACAACTTTAAAAAAATATGACTTTATATAACACATATACACACATTCTATAACAATATTAATTGACAGATATATTTATCGAAAACTATGAAAAACCTTTAGTAGTAAATTTTCAAAATGAAAATCTATAGACTATAAAAAGAACATTAGAAAATATAACATTATTTGTGTAACATTTTTCACCTACCATACCATGAATAGGATGTTTATCGATTTTGAAATACAAACTAAGAAATGATAAAACTATGTTTTATCATTTCTCTCCGTACTAATTCTCATTCAAGTCTCATCTAAGAGAGAAAGAGGAGGTGTTTCAAAAGCAGCATGTTTAAAAAAAGTAAAAAAAAAAATGCAATAAATAATAACTGGTACATGCAATACCAGAGTAGTTGTTATTAAATATTGCTGTCTGTTATTAAATGATGTCTTGAATGACTTTTAGTAAATAAATAAAAGTAGTCTAGTAATGAAACTACTTATTAATCATTTTAGACAGACACCAACATAAACACGACAGACACCAACATAAAGATTATTTAAAAACCAACATAAAGATTAGCCAAAGATAACAACATTAGACAAAAAATTGTCAAAGATAATGTTATGTATTTTCAGAATAGTTATATTGAAGGCTAGACAACACTTAGACCTAAAGCAGTAACACTGCTTGACTGGTAGCATTAAAAGTCTTGCTCTACACGTTTGCTAAGTCACACCACTTTGAAATCATGGTAACCACATTATATAAACATATATACTAACTATAAAAAAAGTTATAAACATATAAAAACACTTCATTTAACAATCATATACACATTAGATAAAATTCATTTCATACTATTATAAAAACACATTTATATAAACACATTTATAAAACAACTATATAACAAATATCACTACATACACATATTTATCAAAAACTTTTTAACTTAGAACATAATATAAACATATGCAAATTATAAATATATATAACTTGAATTGGGCAAACAAAAAATTTAAAAAGATTTATATATATTTATATATAAAGATGTTGTAATGGCTTTTATCCCAATTATTAAAAGCATGTGAAAGCATGAAACCCATAAATAACTTTTAACGCTAGACACCATCTAAGAATTATAGTAATCTATATTTACAATATTAACATCTATAACATGAAGCTTTAAGTTTAAAAGTACAATTTTAAAAAAGGTTACAATAAATTAGTTACTGAAAAAATTTTTATAAAGATTTTATATTACCTATAATCTTAAGCTACTAAACGCTATCTATTTAATGTCTACTTAAACATTTTAAAAATTTTCATCTGTTTAACAACTGAATTATGATTAATCACAACTCTGGGAACTAGTTCTTTGAGAAACAAAACATTTAACTTATTTTATTAATGAGCAAGATTTTGTCAAGTATTAGAATATTACATTTTCTAGAGCAGTGTTAAAAATAGTCAAAATCTGAAAATAAAACACTTATTGCAAAGAAAATAAACTATTACACAACAAAACATAATAATTAACAAACAAATGTTGTAATGTGACCAGAAAGCTATTCTGACCTTAATTTTGAAAAAGTTTAATTGAGTTTTTTAATAATTGGAAATAACTGGGAAAGTTTAAAGTTATTCCTTATATCTTTTAATTCAAATCTAAATAAATAAACAAATTATAAATATAATGCAAGGAAATGCTTACTGCCAGTATTTTTAGTATCTAAATAACTAAACAAAATAAACACAAATAAAAATGTAAGCAAATGTTTACTGCAAATATTAAGAGATAAATAAACAAACATACAATATCAAATTTATATTTATGAACAAAATTCATTTACATCCAATAAGTTATATTAAATAAAATATTTATTGAAAAGCCATAAAAGTTTGCGTAAAACCAAAGTCAATAAATAAAACAAATAGTAAATAAAATGAAAAATTGTTAGGGCATCAACACACAACAAATCTGATACAAACGTTTAAAAAGTAAATATACCTTATTATTTAAAAGTTTAAAAAGGAAATATATCTCATTATTAAAATTCAACCTTTTTAAATATAAAAGCTGACACAATAATCAGCTTGCCTCGTGAATTTTCAAAAGTATATTGGAAACTGTTTGCGCTAGAGTATTTTACAGAATACAGAACCGTTACAAATATCCAACAATAGTAACTAACGGCATTCAACATTAATAACTGGACTATTCATATTTAAGATTTAAATTTATTATTTTATTATAAAAATATATTTTTTATATTAATTTTTGTTATTTTTTTTTATTTTATATTATATTTCATTTTTAACTTCATCTATTACTAAAATGTCCCAGATAATGCTAATGTCCCTGTAAGTGTTTGTTTTTTTGTTAAATCTGTCCCTGTAAGTGCTAAACTATACAAATATATATATATATATATATATATATATATATATATGTATATATATATATATATATATATATATATATATATATATATATATATACACCTAGTTTAGCACTTACGGGAACAGATTTTACAAAAAAACTAACACTTACCGGGACATTAGCGTTTGAGTTCAGCAAAAAATTGCTGACCTTGTTTCTATGTTTTATGGT